CACCCCTTTCGGAATTCCCTGCCAGCAAAGAGGACGGGGAGGATGCTGGCGGGGGCCGAGTGGATACGGAAGCATCCAGCCGGCTCCGCAGTCTCACGTCCTCTGCCATCCCCGAGGGGTCATCATTGGAGGCTATTGCAAGTCTCATTCTCTTTTCTCCTCGAGTAATCGTGGCTTGCATGAGATCAGTCCCTCTAAGTCTCGATGAACTTTCAAACTTGAAAACTTTCGTGAGGAATTGGTTTTTTCAATACTAAACCGAGTTTCTTGCAATGTTCTTTAGGATATTCAGGCCTGTTCGACGGGTTTGTAACAGGCAAAGAAAGAGGATGGAATGGTAAATTTAATTATTATTTCCTGCTCAATTTGGTACCTCGACCAGTACTTGCATGATTTCATTTTCGATTAATCTGTTCAATTTGGTATTTACAAAAAATATTATTATATATTTGTTCAGACTATTATATTTCTGTAACTTACCCATTGAACGCTGTCGATCGATCCAATGCGAATTTCTGCATCAGGCAACTTCCCAAAATAACAGAGGATTGAACGTGAAGACGACTTCAACTGAGAAATGCTCGCCCCTGGCCGTTTCCCTTCGGAGCTGCAGGGCAGAAAATAATAAAAAAAATTCTTCTCCCATCTCCCACACCGACTAGATTACAAATTCATCAGCGTTCTCGCGACCCTGGGCCAACACGTACCGTATCGGCTGATATTCCAAATCCCGGTCTATTATTCTTGGGTCGCACGGGATTTTCTCACGATGGATGGAGCGACAGGATGGAATTTTTTAACCTTGTACTCTTAAGTACGCATTTAAACGGCACATTTATATAAGACAGGCAAAAATAAAAAGCAGTCTGCCTTGATTAATATGGAGAATACGGGAGCGAGTCAACCTAACGTTTCATTAATTTATAATGTGGATCTTGAACGATCGAAGGTCGCGATTTACTCTCCGACTGGTTTTATTCCTTCGTATTCTAATCTTTTTCCTTTTCTTTATCTCTTAGAAGAAGGAACGGTCGAGATCCAGGAAAAATGAGAGAAAATCTCCCCGACTCGAACATCGACAGCGAGCAAAGTTTGACTCGCGGTGAGGACGGATTGGAAGGAATGAGATGAGAAGTTGAGACGATTAGTTGTCCAGCCTGGAGAAATTTCCGAGTTCGAAATCGCTTACCCCGTCTACTCCCCATATCTTCATCTCGATCCGATCCGTTTGAAACCGAAAACCGAAAAGACCACGAGGACTGCCAGAAGAAAGATGAGCTCTCTGTCTCTGTGAAATCACCTGATCGAGGAATGAACTTCACACGCAAAGAACATTTTTAAAGGCGTCATTCCTATCATGAACGGGTATGCGATGAACGTGGACTCACTTCCCCCACCGCAACGCCGGGTGGTCCGCCCTCAATTCCTCCATGTTTCCAGGATCTCGTCTGCGGGCCGGGAACGAACACCGAAGCGAGGTGACGTCATCGATGTCGTCACCGACAAGCCCCCCTCCACTCCTCATCACTCGTCGGAGCAAGGTGAGAACCCTTCGTCGCGGAGCCTCATCGAAGAGACAACGGCGCTCGACAGGCCATCAAAGGCACTCGACAGGCCATCAACGGCGCTCGACAGGCCATCAACGGCGCTCGACAGGCCATCAAAGGCGCTCGACAGGCCATCTCTGACGGTAGACGAAGGCCACTCCGTCAGGTTTCATAGGTCTTCTCTGCGATCATTTAGACTCCGATCGAATCGTGATGTCATCATCATAACTCGATCGCGAACGAAACGGACACTTAGAGCAATTGAACTGCTAGGTATGACGGGCCGCCACCGAGAGAAACTTTTTCGCCGCTGATTGCTGCTTTCAAGATTTCATTCGATTCCGGAAAGGTTTTCCTGATTCAGCGATTATCTTAGGATAATCCTGTTTCGGCTGGCGTCTTGCTTTCCTGGTTTTCCCGATGGAAATTTCTCTAATTTCCTTGTTTTTTTTTTAATACTTAATTTTGTATTTTTACTTATAAAAACAGTGGGGAACAGGCGACTTCTGCTCACGTTCTTCAATCAGGCCGGCTCTTCTTCTGCGCCCCAACGAGACGAAATGCGGGAATATATCTACACATATCTATATATCCACGCCAGAAGACGTGGCCGCTGAAAGAGTTAACCCTTTCGCGCACGAATTTCTGAAAACAAAAATACGCCTCCTCTCGTCTAACGTTTGACTCCGCCGTTTAGCAGTCGAATTCCTCAGGGAAATCCCTCAGCCTCTTCGCTTGTGGGATTTAAACCCCAAAATGTTCTCGGTCGGTTCGGCGGCATGAGGTTCTCCGCTTCATCTTTGGCTCTTTTGTATTTTTAAAAATTTTTTTTTTAGCGAATTAAATTTTCTTTTATTTATTTATCTATGCTCCTTTTAGCTGACTTCTTACGAAATTCGAAAAAAATCGGAGCGGTCAATTTAATTAGATTAATCGACCGATTAATCGGTTAAATTATTAATGACGATTTAAGAACTAAGTCGACATTAATAGAATTTTGATCGACTCCCTAATCTCCTCTTTTCCCCCTTATAACTTTACCGAGTAGTTCATAATTTCGCAAAAAACGACCGAAAACAACGGGAAATGAAATGTAATGATGACTTACAGACGGTGGTCGTTCTCGCACTGTTCATTCTTCCTCGAAATCCAGATCCCACTTTCGGATGAAGGGAACACACGAAAAACAAAGCTATCGCTTTTAGACCATTCCAACAACAAAAAAAAAGCTTCCTCAGCCCTTCGCATCCACAAGCGTACAGGTACGGATCCCGTGTCCTTCTGCCGAGCCTACGGCTTTTAAACGCATAGCCTAGCAGGCCTCGCGCGTCAGGCTAAGGTTAGAGCGGCCTAGGGTAAAGCGACCCTATAGTCACTCCATGCGAATGGGGAAAATAAAATCTTTATAAAGAAACTGCAAGGGAAAGCAGAGAAAAGAGAGGGCAGGGGCATGGGACAGGAGAGGCAAGAAAGAGGATAATGTAAAGACGGGTGTGAGAGGCGTATGTGTACGTTAAATACGTTAAATCTCCGCGTAATGAAGAGTCACTGTATACGTCCAATCATTTAGGTTACATGTTCGAATCCTTCCGTCATGAGTTGGCTAAATGGCAAAGGGCCCCAATGCGCTTCTTTGCTTACGTTTCGTTATTTATCTGGTTAAGTTGTAACTATTTTCTTTCCCACTGGAATGTGTCACTTGTAGGATGAACTAGTGTAACGATAGTTAGTAACTGCCGTTAGCGACTGCATCGCCTTGAGTCGCTTCCTGAGGCTGGCCTAGGCGTTGGGCATGGCACAAGCAGAATCATTCCCAATGCCTAGGACATCATTCAAGGAGGAATTATGGAATCGATTAAAATTCGATTAATCCATTAATTGTTTAATCCATTAATCTTATTATTATTTTTAATGGATTGACAGCCCTAAAAAATGCACTCAGGAAAATGTCACATGGTAATTTTTTCAAAATAAAGTAACATACTAGGTACATTCCCAAACATTTGTATTTCTCACCGATAACGTGCACCTCTCCGTGTGAAACATCATTTATACCAAGCGACTTCTTCTCCACAAACTTCCAGCGCCATCCAGTTTGAAGGGAAATTGGAAAACATGAGCTTCTAGCAGCACTGCTGTCTTCCTCGTTCACGGCGAGGGAACACGAGGAGGCGTTCGACAAGTTCTTGAAGCTAGTATTTTATTTACAGCATACACGGTATTTCCAAGACGTTAATACCGCAGTCCTTCGACCACGCACTGCGATGGCAAGCACCGACCCAAGCGGCGAAGCTCCTCCACAGCTCTGAATGAACAGCTTTGGACAGATCTCGAATGCGACTGATATTTCGCCCAGACAACTGTTGAACGAGGAAACAGCCAGAAGTGACATTGGGCAAGATCTGAGCTATGCGAGCCCGATGTCACTTTTAACCTTAACTTTTTGAAACGAAAATTTCGGGGTGAATTATGATGAGCTGTTCCGATCGACTCGTGCATTAGAACTCGGGACGATGGGCCATCAGCCGTCTATCAGCTATCGATCAGATCGGCTATCAGCGGGATTCTCATCACGCTTGGTTCATTCGGCTGGTAGGGGGGGGGGGTTTAGGGCCACCCGCAAGGGGTTGGGTGAGGAGACCCGATCGATCACCATTTAAATGCTTTCGCCTTGGGCACAGACATCGCCCATGCGATGGAGACTCGGCAATACGCAAATGAAAGAGCGAATTTTGCATTAAAAAAAAAATAATAATAAAAAAATATAAAAATAAATAAAAAAAGAGGTTTCTGAAACCTGTTCGTGCTCTTGGCTTTCCCCTTAATGAACCACGACGTAGTATTTCCGAGGAAACTCTTCTCATGAAAACAAACCCTTACATAGAAGACGGGATCCCAAACCTGATCCGTGAAAAAAAAAGCGGGCCGTCCTCCCATTCTTTCCTCCCAGCATAACATCGTCATTCCCGGTGGAATCCCCATCGCACAAGGGCCAAGGTCAAGGGGGGGGGGGGGTTATCCCCCGGGATCCCCTATATAAGACGCTCCCGCCTTCCTCCATCCATCAGCCTTCTCGCAGCGTCAGTTCTCATTCCGTTCGACAAGTTTACAATGAAGTTTCTGGTGAGTCCTCTCCCAATTTTTCTGCTTCATTTTCATTTACTTTGTCTTTTAAATATATATATATATATATAATTATTATTATCAGTTTCCGCTTCCTATAGCAATCTTGTGCTTTGCAATAGCGCAACTCTTCTTTTGCACTTGTGGACGCACTAAGAATAATAGAATCAGAATTATGAAATAGTTGTAATGATGATAAACAAAATGGTCTTTGCGCGTTAAAGGCGAGGCTAAGACGTTTCAAGGAGCTCGTGCTCTACACGAGCGAACGAGTGACTAACATGTGTAACATTGACTCTTTCTCGCCAGTGGGTCCTTGGGGTGTTGGTAATGGTGGCGGTGAGCCTTGTCGTGGGAGCGCCTGGGCCCCAATACGGGAGAGGAGGATACGGAGGAGGATACGGCGGAGGAGGGTACGGAGGAGGTGGATACGGAGGAGGAGGGTACGGAGGAGGCCGAGGTGGATACGGCGGAGGTTTCGGTGGCTTCGGTGGGCATCACGGAGGACACCACGGAGGACACCACGGAGGACACCACGGAGGGGGGCGCGGGTACGTTCTCTGCTTTTTGCCTCTTTTGGGAATTGGGGAGGTCGCTGACGCGGAAGGTGTTGAAGAAACGTCGGGTTAAGTTCGCCAGCATCCAAGAACTTCGACGTGTTCAAAGTATCTGGTGGCATCAGAGGTGGCAGGTGATCCTGTCGACGGTTTCATCGCGTTATTTCGGGTTCCAGATGCTACATACTTAAAACATGTCTAATAAATCGTTAGGGGCTTCAGAGGCTCCCAGAAAATGTGTTTATGGCCCTTTCTCACTCACACGACTCTTAGAGGGTCCTTGCACACAATGCATCGGACCCTTCCAGTGTTAATAATTCTGGCCCATCGCGCACATAAATGTAAAAAAAAAAAAACTCACATGTTAAGAATGAAATATACCAATATTATAGGGTCGCTTCATTTTCCCTCTCTTTTCCTTGCAGATACGGGAGATAAGAGAACGACAGGCCTAGATCCTCGTCTTGTCTCGTCCTTTCTTTCTCCTCACTGTCTTCTTCAAATGAAACCAAATAAACCTGAATGATGTCTCTCATCCGGTTTCTTTCATTCCTTTCATTCATTCTTCCCGAGCGGGAAAGCTCAAAGTCATGAGAAAAACGTGGGAAACGTGGAACGAGTTTCGATGGAAGGGAACAACGAATATCTTTAATATCTGAAACGGAGGCAGCGCTTTCTTGTATTTAGTACAAGAAAGTATTTAGTATTTAGTACATGGCCTGTTGCATAGGCCAACACGGAGGAAATAAAAACCAGCACATTTTCAGGCAATGTATTTGTGCCTGGAGATCACCCTTAAAAAAAAAAGGCTGTTCCAAAAGTCGTTCTCGGAGCCGAGTAACAAGGGGAAAACGACATTATAACAAGTTCCTTGCAGGTCATGAGATACAACTGCGTTCTACGAAAGGTAATTTATCTCATTCATAAATCTGCAATTGAGGCTCTTTAGAACTGCGAGGCATCGGTACCTCATTCGTCCGAATTCATCAAAGAGGTGTGACTAATCCAGCACTAGAGAAGGACGATTCCAGTACTTTAGTACTCGACGAGACCCGAGAAAGTACACCCTTAGGGCGAGAAGTCAAGGGTACCTTATTTATTACTACCCGTTTCACGTTTAAGTACATGTCTCGAGCTTTTTCTGTACTCGATCGGGACTAGGCTCCATACTCATCCAAGTCTCCACTTTCGGTTCCGCGCTTAAAAGACTTTCCGAGGAAAAAACTAAATGAAACGAGCACCTGTCAAGACTGGAGGATGAAGGCGAGAGTCACCGCTGCCGCGCAGACTCGGAGACATCCTGCTCCCAGCGCCGCCGCATCGATACTGTCGCTCCGCTCGGCACTGCACGTCGAAGGCTTCTAGAAGTGCACGGTTGCCAGGAACAAAGGCAGATTAATCCCTTCTCCCCTTGCTCAGGCCCGGTGGGAATTCCTCTAGAATCTCACGATGCAACAGGCCATCGCAATGTGTACAGCCTTTCGCTCCTCTTTCATAATTGCGACACATTTGCGCCTGTTGCAATTGCCGAATCGCCGCGACTATAAAGGGGAACGTCTGGCAACCCTGGACCGTGCGACTCTAACCCGGGCACGTGCGCTGTCGGCTGGTCTCAAACCTGTTAACCCCAGGGTCCTTCCCTGGATGTTACTAGGTGGAGCTCTTTTTATTTATTTTAGGCGTACTCGGATAACTGGATCGTGTTTGTGCCTCTCTCTCTCTCCCCCTCTCTCCTCTTACTGCGGATTAAAACGACTTCTTCAATATTTACAAGAAGACAATATTATTTTCTGCTGGGAAAGAAGCAGCTTACCTCGGTAAAGACGCCGATCACCGAAAAGTTGAGATCAATCTTCAATCAATCATTCTTCAATCTCCTTTTCTCCTTACATAAGTAGAAAAGGAGATTGAAGGTCGATACGCACTATTTCCTTTCTCCCGTTTTCTTTCCTTTTAGGTCGTGAAAATATGGCCAAAAAAGAGCTCGTTTTCTCCCCCTGCTCCAACTCCCTCTGACTTAAATTTGGGATGCAACACCGATTTAGTACATCATTTTCCGTAGGTCGGGTCTATGGGACCCACGACCAAAATAACACGCAATAGTTATATTTTTGAATAGAACATTCAATTTATTTATGGAACGTCCGAGTGAGAAACCCATAAATCAACTGCACGCAAATTTCCACCGGGTTCTGCATCCTAGTATTTAAGCGAGCCACATCGTTCGAACTTGGAACGGTATCGGATGACGAATCCGGGATGATAAAATCTGCACAGGATGCGAAGTATAAGCTCCATCGGCGATGGAACTTCGGGTCGGGTCCGAGCCCTCGTTCGAATCGGGCCGACCGGGTCGGTCGAGATCGACCCGTAGTCGACCCGTGCAGACCTCCGACGGACAGGACAGACAGACGTCGACTATTATTGCACAAAATATTTCCTGAACCCGGCCGTTCGGCAGCAACTGACGAGATCGGAATGAGAGAGTAGGAGATGAAATGATTTGATGAAACGAGCATGAGGAAAGAAGAGATGAGATGAGATGAGCATGAGGAAAGAAGAGATGAAACGAGCATGAGGAAAGATGAGATGAGATGAGCATGAGGAAAGAAGAGATGAGATGAGCATTCCACTCCCCATCAGCCTCCCCATCCGCAAGCCTTCGCAATCCCATTCAACTCCTCGCCGCACCGAGTACCTCCTTTTTCACTTCCTGTTGAACGCCGGAACCACGCCCTAATTCGCAATCTCCTCTCTCGACCGTCTCGAGTCATGTCACGCTTCGATCCGATGTCAATAGCATTCAAAACGGATCGGACTCCAAGGACGAACGTCGAGTCGAGGCCAAAGTCGTGTTCCCATGCTTCCGTGAAATCGCCTCGTCCAGGAACGCGCAGTATTTCACTAGCGAGTTTGCTTGCCCTTCGGGCAACAAACTCACTAGAGCGCTTTATTATTAAAGGAAGTTACCAATGAATAGAAATAGCATACTAATGAATAGAAATAGCATAGGCCTAAGCGTCCGTAAGAGGATCGGGCATAACCACTCTAAATCGAAACGTCGATGGAAAATCTTCCTACCCGTTTCCATCCGCAAGCGTACCAGTAGGGGTGAACTCATTTCCTACCTTTGACCTATGACCCAGAAAGGCCCAGGCGGGATGGCCTCGCGTCTCAGGCGACAGACAGGATTCTCGGTCGGATGGGTCCAAAAGTTCCTGGATGCGAATAGGTCGGTCAAAATCGGTGCAGGCTTCCGCGTGTGTCCAAGGCTTAGATACAGGCCTACCAAATCGGTTCCCTTGGAGTAAATACCGTAAATGCCGAACCGAATCCGCGCATTCGACGCTACGGCCATTTATCTTCCCTCCCGCTTCCGTAAAGGAAGAAAGCACACGAGAGCGGTATTAGCCCACGCGTCTGTCTGTGGGTCTGCACTAGGCTTGCAAAATGAATCCCCCCCTAAATGTGCCCCCAGGGCAGGTACCCCCAACGGTCCAATTTTTCTGGAGTCGGCGATCCAATTCGTGTACCAAGTTTCAGCCTCTCATCATTTCTTGTCTTTAGAACATGGTTAGAATTAGCGTCGGTCAGTCAGACACACACGATCGTCTATATATTAGATTTCTGAACACTTTTGAATGCAAAACCGCATAATTCATTGCACAAGAAGCTCGACGGCGGAAGATGCTTCGTCGTTCGACACTAATTATGGTAAAAATGTATCATTTACATGGATGGTTCAAGGAAAATTTGATGCGCACGAAGGGTCGTTGGATTTATCGACCATATCGAATTTATCGACAATATCGAATTTATCGACAATATCGAATTTATCGACAATATCGAATTTATCGACAATATCGAATTTATCGACAATATCGAATTTATCAATAAGATCGAAGTTATCGACAATGACTGTCGAAATCGCTGCGTCACCTGCAATATCTCTGGACAGAAGTCGAAAATTCCATTCTTCTCCGCTTCGACTTTTATTCGCGAAGATGAAGAATTCCATTCGTCACCTACTGGATGGACGATGATGCCAGGATTTTTTTTTGCGGAAAAAAAAGAAGCGAAACGTTCGAATTTCGGTCAATTTCTCGTCCTGCTCGCTCGGAAGGAGACAATTTGTCGTTTAGGGTGAAAATCCTTGAAAACTCTACGGAGCGGCCAGTAAAAGACTGGCCAGATGGTCGCCGATGAACACGTAAGGTTCGACGCGGAAATACGAAACACGTCTCTCACAATGCCCCTCGGAATCTCCCTTGCGGTCGCCAATAAATATCTCCTGTCAATGGAAGGCCGAACGGATCCAGCGGTCGCGACGGAATCACGGAAGGAGGAACTGGTCTCCCCCCGCCCTCCCACAGGGATGTTTGTCGTTGACCGTTTCCGCGGAGGTCCTTGGTCGACGGGTGGAAGCCTCGGCGTCCCGTATATAAGTAGCCCCTTCTGTCCGCTCGAGTCAGTCCGTTTCCCACAGTCCAGCTGCCTTTGTGGTCCCGTTCGTCCCGTGACAGAAAGATGAAACTCCTGGTGAGTCCATTCCTCTTTCCCGGTGACTCTTTCGCAAACTGACCTTTTCACGATCGCTTTCCGGTGCCACAATCCTTTCGCAAGGAAATCCAAGTCAAACGAAAAAGTATTAAAACTTATTATTACTGTTCATCAAGTGTATTTATCTGTTTCTGATAAATTCTGCATCATGTAATCGACATCTCTCGGCTGACATCCCGGATGAAGAATTTCTGTTCCCTGAAAAGCATCGAAAAATTTTTTTTTTTTAGGGAAAGTTTACTTCAAGGAGAATTTCAGTATCATTCAGATGATTGCACATTGAGTCTAACTTAAGCCTTATCCAGGTAACTTTGTGGACTTTGTGGAGTCCGTGGGACTCCATGAAGTATATTTCATTGCATTACTCTCTGGATATTTTTTTCTCCTATATATCCTACAAATTCAATGTGCCTTTCTTCGATAGTCTTCCATAGATCCAAAAATGGGTTTTTTAAGTTTCGATTTAGTTACAAGGAAAAAATTCTTAAAATGTTTGCTTTGCCGTTTTATCGCAAAAATACTTTGCCTGGATAAGGGTCAAGTCCGATCCGTTATTTGCTCTTCGTTGCAAGTAATGTGAAACAGCGGCTGAGAAAAACAGAATAGGAAATTAATAATTTAGGAGTCGAGCATGGAAGCGAAAGTTAGTCAGGTATTCCCCCTTGGATAATATCAATACCTCCATTGCGTATGTGAGAGAATGTATAGCTTACCCAGTACCTAGCACAAAGTGGTTGTTTGTATTAGTTGGTCCTTGGGGTTCTGGTGATGCTGGCGGCGGCTCTCGTCCTGGGAGAGCCAGAGCCCGGAAAGCATGGTGGGGGAGGGTATGGCGGAGGCAGGTTTGTCCGTGGCGGGGGCCACGGAGGAGGCGGCTTCAGGAGGGGGGGCTACGGTGGGGGCCACGGAGGAGGCGGCTTTGGCAAGGGAGGCTTCGGTGGGGGCCACAGAGGAGGCGGCTTTGGCAAAGGCGGC